TTGGATATGAGTTTTAAGCTTTTAATTTGTCTAAATAGAAGGTAGCCAAAATGAAATCTGTTGTCAAAAGAGGCAGTAATGGTTGTTAGTTAAGTGGCATTTGAAATGGGTGACAATACTTGTTGATTGCTTGTGATAAGAGTTAATGTGATTGAAATTGAAAATATCTTTCAAAATAAGGGGCCAATTGGGATATGAGAACACATTTAGGAATTTTTGAATTGATGGTGTGTGGGTATGTTCTCTGTTTGCATGATGCTCTTTTACAACATGTTTGGGTAATGTGTTTTGGTAGCATGCCTAATGCTTAATGACCCTTTATACAAAATCAGTTTTGTCTAAATCATTCTTAAAGATGACCTTAGAATTTGGAATAGTGGATGAAATAGGAAGGAAAGAGATTGAAACAAGATGGCGAGTAGAAGTTCCTAATAAAAGCAGTGAGAAAGAAAACAAAGATCATAAGCTGAAATAATGGTCTGGTTTGGTTAATATGATTGAATTTGTGTGTGTCATTTTAAGTCTAATTAAGATTAAAGCCTTAAGAACAAAATTCTGATCTTCTCTTTGAAACCCACAAATCTTGTCCGTAACCTTTTTGGAAATTACAAATTGCCACTCAATTCAATTTGAGGTTTCTTTTCTCTTTGGTTTTGAACCTGTTTGGTGATTGGTTGAATGTGGCCTATTGTTTCATACATGGTATAATGTATTGATATAATCTGAGATTTGCTAATTGTCTATGTTAGTACAGATTCTGTTGAACCTTATTGCAGTTATTAAGATTTTGTCCTTCGAACTCTCTTCCATTTACTTAATGTTTAATTTATTATCAAGCCCTACACATGGTAATTATTTCTTTAAGGTTGTTTTAATCTCTACTAATGAGTTTCATTGTTTTGATTCATTTAAGCGGTTCACCTTGCTTATGGAGATGAACCATATGGGAGCCAAATGGATCTTCTTGGCCTGAAGCACTAATATCAAGATATCATTGTCAATTTTTTTTTTTTTCATTTTATTCTTTTATATTCTTTTATCTTGAATTGTATCATTTAATTTTTGGATTGGAGCTTGTTTTGTATTTAATTTTACACAAACTCAACATTTCATGTTGTTCACAACACACACATCACTCAATATGCATGGTACTTAATATGATTACATGGCATAGATTTTAATAATCTTAATTTGAGAGATAATATAAATAACCACTGGAGGGATATTATGCATGTTTGGTTAATGTCAGCGCATGAGATATAGGTAAGATTTAATAATCTAAGTTTTAAGAGATGATATAGCCACTCAAGGGACAACAACTCTTTAGAATAACCTACTTGTTTCTACAATGTAGATTGAGAACTTTATCGTGAGAGAGATGTTTGTGGACAGTGGAAGTGCGGATGGTATTCTATGCTATTACATAATTAGGAGTTTCAGACTTTATGATGTTTGGTTGTAGAAATGCAATGAACCAATTGGTTTAGCAACATGTTATTTTCAGTTGAGGGAGTTATTTCCTTGCTAGTGATCTTGGGATTGTCTACTTGTAATGTTGCCACAATGTTTGAGGTTTTGGTTGTTGAGACTAGCGGGGATTGCATTATTTTCCTTGGCAAATCTACTTTTAACTGCATGACAGGTATATTCTTCTAATCTAGTTTGAAACTTCACTTTTATTTGGTGTCACCTTGATTGTTGGATTTTTTTTTCATTTCATTTTTGTCCTTTTTATTTCAAACAGCTCTTTTTCTTCTGTTTTTATTTCAAAAAATAAAATATAAAAAGCAGTGGTCAATATTTTCTGCTTTGGTGGTTGGAAAAATTCATTTTTAGTCCTATTATTTTACATATCTCTCCTCTCTTTTTTTACATATAATTTATACATTCTATATTTGATTTTTTTTTATATATAATTAGTTGTATTTGGTTATATATTTATTATAGATTTCAGAATATTTTAATGCACCTTTTTTTTTACCTGTACTTATAATAATTATAGTTGTATAATGTGAATAATTCAATTAAATAGAAAACTATTTGTTGACATTATTATAATATCCCTCTTTTATATATTATTATACTACTTTTCTTTGATATTTTAATGGACTTTTCTCAACCTGTATTTATTATAAATTATAGTTGTATAATGTAAAATTTATCTTTCAATTGTTTTATGTTCTCTTGTAACGGTTTTTTTTTTTTTCAAATAAAAAAAGTGGTAATTCAATTAAATTTTCATAACATTTATTATAGTTTTCTCTTGTCAAAATTTAAATAAAAATAAAAATAATAAAGAAGCAGCAACAAAAAGCAACCAAGTTTTTTTAATTGAATTGTTTTCTTTTAACAATAAATCGCCAACTTCAGTTTTAAGTTCTCAATTTTTAAAATCTTTTATTTTAAATATTTTCTTCATTTAACTTTTTATGGTGACACCAAATGATTCTGTGAGTTTCAAATGAAGTGACGAAAAATATACCTTTTATGGAGTTTGGGCAAGGCATGTGAAGGAGAATATTGCAAGCGATGCTAATGATCTTGATGACCCCTTCGTGTGGCAATTTTACCAAGTGCAATTCCCATGATTGCTGTTAGGAGATACATACTCCCTCAAATGAGATTTGATGTGTTTGTTCAACCCATTGATTTGTTCATTATGTTTCTTTTTCAACCGAATTTCATCGAAGTCTCAAACTTACTAATGTGGGGTAGAAATAATACCAATCCTAACTACCACAATATACAGACACTCACTTACGGTTAGAGTTTTTAATCTAGTGTAGATTGGTAGATTATTCTACTGGTTTAGAGTCCCTAGTTTGGTTATAAAATGATCTCTTTGTCTTAGATTATAAATATTGGCTTATTTTATGGACCCCCTTTTTTTTTTTTTTACAAAAATTCATGTCTTGTTGATTTTTGCAGGTTTCAAGATTGAAGATCGTAATTTCATCATAGGATGAGAGTAAAATGGTTTCATTAGGAGAGTGCTATTTTTAATTTTTTAATTGTAGAATAATATTGTAATGTAAAAGAATATATGAAAAAATTGTTATTTTAAGTTATAATCATTTTTTCGTCAAACTTTCAAGGTTAAATTTAAAGAATTTAATATTTTACTATTTGAATTATATCAAATTATATAACATTGCTTAAATTACAAAATATCAATCATCATAAGATGGAGTGGTTCTTCCCTAATTCAATGGTTACAATACTTCTTTTTATAAATTTAAATCTCAACTCACCTTTCTTACTTTGCAAAAATGGAAAATTATTTTAGAAAAGGGATTGATGTTTAATAATTTAGACTACACATTAAAATTATAATCCATTTTATAAATTTATTAAAATAATTTTAATAAAATAACATAAAAATAATTTCATTAAAAATATTTTAATAAATTGATAAAATAAATTATATTTTAAAAATATTATCCATCATATAAAATAATTTTTTTGTTAATACTATCCTCTCAATATTTAAAATTTATATTAAATTTTAATTGATTTAAAATCAAATTATATTGGATTTAAAACCCTCCTAACATTTATTTTTTTCATTTATAATATTTAAATTTAATATTTTACTTAAAAAATATTAAATTAAAATTCTTCTAATTAAACTAACAAATCATCTTGCAACATCATGAATGTAATAGAAAGAACTACTACTGACGTGGCAAGTAGCTAATGGCTACTTCCACGTGTACGACTTCTAACGCTAACATACGCCGCGGCCTCACCACCGGACCCGATCAGCAGGTCCCTCATTTCCGTTTCCCTCGAATCCGAAAACCGAACAAGGAGGTCATGGCTGTCCGAGCGACGGTGTCACGGTTCCCGATCGACCCCGACGCGCAGGAGGTCTCCGGCGTGCCCTGGGGGGTCACCGTTACGCCGTTCGCGTCCAAGGACGAGAACGGTCTACCGCCAGTCTACGGATCGGACGGGCATCTTTTACCACGGTGCGAGTACTGCTACGCCTACTTCAACACTTACTGCGAACTAGATGAATGGGCCTGGAACTGCTCGCTCTGTGGGACGCTAAACGGCCTGTCCTCCGAGGCCGTTACCAGATACTCGCATCCTCAGTCGTGCGCCGAGATGACGTCCTCCTTCATTGATCTCGAGTTGCCATGTGAGTTATTTTCGCGGCACCTTTCTAATTGCATTTCTTGTGGCTGTCTTGTCAGCGTCATCAGTTGTTTGCCTGGTGGGAAATTTCGGGAGAAACGGAGGGAAATTTCTTTCAATTTATAGTGAAACTACTTAGTTTGTGCATAATTTTTACATGGTTATATGAATATTTGCAGTGGAGGGATCAGAGGAAGAAATGATACAAGCTCGTCCTGTTTATGTTGCAGCTGTTGATTTGGCATGTAAGATTTGATAATTTCTTCTCATTATGCATTAATTGGTTCTTCTCACTTTGTTTACAATATTGTTTTCGACTTCAGTTTCACTCTTTTTTGTGTTGTTTCTTATATGATTGTTGAGATTTTATGGGAGATTACTAATCCGTACTGCTTGCAGCTTCTGAAGAATTTTTGGAGCTAACTAAAAGTGCATTACAAGCTGCTTTGGAAGGTTGTTAATCTCTGATCAAAATGTGTACCGATTTTCTTTCTTTATGTTTGATTTTGTCCCTGGAAGTTTAATAATCGCCTTTTCTTTGATTGTTATTATTGCAGCTCTTGCACCTGGGTCATTGTTTGGTCTCGCTACCTTCAGCCACAAAATAGGGTTGTATGATGTTCAAGGTCCTATACCCATAGTAAAGAATGTTTTCATCCCTCCAGATCCTGAGGGCTCCCTACCAATTGAACTTGAAGATGCCATGCCTTTGTTGCACTTCTTGGCCCCAGTATGTTCAATGTCTTTACTTCCTGCAGCCTTTTGTTTTATACCATCCCCTCTAATAAAGCAAAGTGGCAATAGATTATTTATCAGTAATCTTTTATATGTGAGATAAAACTTGTTGAGGAATGTTTCTTATCATTCAGTCTTCTTTTTTAGCAATCAAAGTCATGTATTTTGTGTAATTTGACTTGGGCAGTGCTCTAAATTACTAGCTCTATTACAGGTTGAAACTTGTAAGGACCGTATCACATCTGCACTTGAAACACTTAGACCAACAACTTCATGGGAAAGAACCCCAGGAGCAGGTCAAGGTTTAGATGGTGTTTTGATTGGTGGGAGAGGTTTTGGTGTGGCAATGGAAGCCCTTTTCAACTACCTTGGATCAGAATATGGAAATACATTTGCATTGGGTATGTGATAAGCTGCTTGTATAATACTTATAACCTCACTTCTTATTCTGATTTTACAAATTATGTTTATGACTTTACGTCAAATTTTTTATCATATGCTTCCTAAAGGGATGGTATCATTTTTACTTTTGTCTCCTTCAAACATAACTGCAGCTAGAGTATTTGCCTTTCTATCGGGTCCTCCTGATTATGGAGCTGGGCAACTAGACACGAGAAGGTACGGTGAGCAATATGCCAGTAAAGGAGAGGATGCAGACCATGCTTTACTTCCTGAGCAGACACCATTCTACAAAGATCTGGTAATTTACTGCTTGACCTTTTATTTTATTTATTTTGGCCAGTGCTTGACCTTTTATTTGATTAGCTTTATCTGTTTGGTATTGTGGTTAGAGAAATTTAGCATTGACATAACATTTTACAGGCCACTGTGGCTGTTCAAGCAGGTGTATCTGTGGACATATTTGCTGTCACAAATGAGTATACAGATCTGGCATCTCTAAAATTTCTTAGCATAGAAAGTGGAGGCTCACTGTTTTTTTATTCAAATACTGATGACTCAACACTTCCTCAGGACATGTGAGTAATGCTACAGTAATTCATGGTGGCATTTTTACAAACTCTAAAAACAGTTTCTCGTCGACAAATATAATGACAAGTGTGAACAGTATCAGAATCTTTGAATTGATAACAATGTCTAGTTTCGCTCTTCATCTAGACTGTCACTTGATAATGTGTTTTCATTTTGATACTTATTATTTCAGTGACTGATGTGATATTCCATTTCAGTAATTGTGTCAATTTCTTGTGTAGGTATCGCATGCTAAGTCGACCGTATGCTTTTAATTGTATTCTCTGATTGAGGACATCTTCTGAATTCAAGCCTGGCCATTCTGTTAGTGAACCCATGCTTCTGGAACTTGTAATTAGTATGGGACTATTAGCTAATATTTCTTGCCCTTCTCTTTGCAGTATGGTCATTTCTTTGCTGATCCACAATATGAAAATGTTCAACACATTATTTGCTGTGATTCTTTTGCAACATATGCATATGACTTTGATTTTGCTAATACTTCTGGATTTTCCAGGTATTGCTCATTATTGTTATCTTTTCTTCACAATATGATTGCATCAAATTGTTTGCTGTGCTCAATTTTTTTTGTTGCATAACAGTTGTGACTATAAGGGAACCCTTTATGGCATTTATTGTTATCTTATTTAAAATGATTCAGAATCCCCTTTTATGAATTTAATGGAGCTGCAAAGTGTAATGTTTTAGCAATTACATCTTTTGGGCTCTTTTGATACTGACAGATTATGTTTTCTTCCAGACATACATCAGAACAACCTATGATGCAGATTGCATTCCAGTACACAGTTGTTGTTCCCCCTGAGGAACTCTCTAGTCCAGGTTCTTTAAGTAGGTATGAGTTTTCCTGTGGTGCATATAGGTATACTGATATAGTATTCCTAAATTACTCTTAGAATTCTACAAACGTTGTACATCTTTTGTTAGAATTCAGAGGTAAAGCTAGGATGCTGAAATCTATTGAAGTTAGTTGCAATGGTTGGACATTTAGTACTCTAATGGTTTTCTCAGTCAGTATTTGTATAGTGATTGTCATAAAGTAGTTTGTCCATCCTTTCTGCTTCCATCTGTATGATGCCTGGTACAGCTACTCCTTTTCTTATAATTGTTTTCCTTTCCTGCTCAAGCTTGTAAACTTTTCTGATTTTCAATTTTTTACCTCATGACATTTTCTCTTGCTAGAATTTTCTATCTACTTCTGTAGCTCATTTACTTATTTTGGGCTTGGCCTGATCTGCTGTATGCCTGTGTAGAGGCAAACATTCTCTTAAACGGCGACTGAGGATACGAACCATGCAATTTGGAGCAGCACAAAATATTAGTGAACTTTATAACAGTGTTGATCCTGAAGCAGTATTATCGCTACTTGTTCACAAGGTCTCACTCTCTCTTTCTCTCTGTATTGTGTTGGTGATACTCGGCTTTTTTTTCTCATCACTGAATCTTCTCATGATGGTGGACAATAATAAATATTGCTTATGCATAGGTTATATTGGCTTCCTTGGAGCAAGGAGTAAGAGAGGGCAGGGTGCTGCTTCATGATTGGCTAGTAATCCTCACTGCTCAATACAATGAGGCTTTTAAACTTGTCCAATACAAGAATGGAGGTGGTTTGATGACTGGTCAGATTGATAATGCATTCACACAATGTCCACAGCTACAAGATTTGCCTCGCTTGGTTTTTGCATTACTTCGAAATCCTCTTCTCCGCTTCCATGAAGAAGGTGTCCACCCTGACTATCAGATCTACCTGCATTGTCTTTTCAGGTATTGATGCTCTGATTTTGAAGAATTATTTGTTGAGGATAGTAATAATCATAGAATGTCCTGAATGATCAATCAAGTCAATGACTATTGAATAAAAATGGCTTATGAAGAATAGGAAGTTAATGGATTTAATTGGGTTGAATCTTTATGTTTTCTTAGTCTTTGTCAATAGAGCAGAATAAGAAATTTCTCCTTTTGCCAATCCTTGGCATTGACCTTTGTTACATTGCTGAACTTATGAAGCCACCCACTGATTGGGCATTCACATTGTTGGTGGAAGCTAATTTGTATATGTTAGACTCAAGAAGTTTATTAAGTTTGTGAATATTTTCATCTTGTATTCTACTGTTTGGAGTGTCTTTCTGACTCTGTTGCCTCACATGTTCCATTCAAACTATCGGGCATGATTATTTTATGATTTTTCTCGCTTTTCAAATATTTAAAACTTAAAGTGAATTTACATGTTTCTCTTGTCATGGATCATTGTTATTTATTAATCTTAGGAGGAGTTATTCTTGAAGTTTTCAGGATTGTAATAATTGTTGTTGCTGTTACCCTACCGCAGATATGTTTTGGGTGTTGAACAGGCTACATGTGTGCATGATTATCTTAGAGTACTAGTTCTTTTACTTCCTGGTCAAAACTAACTCTCAAGTAGTTTTCCAATTTATGTGGTGCAGTGCATTGGAACCAAGTTCCCTTCACCGTGCTGTGTATCCAGTACTAATGTCTTACTCAACACCAGATAAACAAGCATACCCACGACACTCATTGAGCCGTGCTGCACTGATCACCAGTGGTAGTCCAATATTTCTTCTCGATGCTTTTACAAGTCTTATAGTCTTTTACTCTTCTACAGCAGACCCTAGCTTGCCTTTTCCTCCCCCTCATGATTGTAAGCCCTCTGCATCCTTTCTTGCTGCTTTCCTGTATTTTACTTAATCTTAAGAGCTGAAAAGACATTCTATGATGTTTTCTTCTCAGGTTTACTGCGGACTACAATTAACAGATTGAAGCAAGAGCGGAGTATTAGTCCCAAACTCATATTCATACGTGGTGGGCAGGATGATGCCACAGCATTTGAGAACTATCTTATCGAGGAGCAGGATGTTGGTGGAAGTGGGCTCACTAGCGTGATGGGTTTTGTTACTTTCCTTGAAGATATCACCCAGAATGTGCTGGAGTACTTTAAGTAGAATGCAAAATTGGCTCCAATGACAAATTACACCTTGAATTACTCACGATCTTTTAAAAACTCTACCTACATTGTAGCAGTTCAACTGCTTGGCCAGAGTAGATTGGGGGGTTCCAAACCATAGCAGAAGCCAGGGGATCTGTTGACTGTTGTTGTTAGCATACCTATTTCCTTCACCCCCAAGCCAGTGTTTACAGAGCATCTTTGGCCTGGCTGCTTGAGCGTTGCTGAAGACAAAGTAAACCCCATTACCCCTTGATGGGAAGCCGATGACAGTCATTCAGTATGCCCATTTCCTTCTTCACCATACCAAAAAAGGACCGTTCTGTCACAGTTAGGTACACAGTCAAACTTCTAAGATGCAAAGGCAAGCTTTTGTGAAAATAATGAGTTTTTGTTAGAATCAATACCACCTGAATCAAACCCTACAAGGGGACTATACTTTTGATAAGATTTTTCTTTCCTGAAAAGATTTTGTTTAGAGATTTTGTTTTTGCTTCAAGAGAAATTAAAAACGATCTGGTTATTCAGTAGCTAATGCCCTTGGCCCTTTACTATACTAAATCTCTCTTCATCCATCTAACCATCTAATGAATAGTCTCTCACCTTCCTAAATTTTTCTTTATCCATTTCAATTTTTGAATTTCAAAATTTTCAAGGAATATAATTAATTTTCTACAAAAATTTGTGAAAAACATTAATGGTTTTGTAATTTAAATTATATCAAATTGTAAAATCAAAATTATTAGATTGATGGCTCCATATGATGGATGGATAAAATTTATGGAGTGAATGGATGGTGTGAAGAATCATTTTTCCAAAAAAATTGAAATAACCCATTGAAATTTAAAATGTGGGAAAATATCTCTTCGAGATGAGAAAAAGAAATAGGCCGGGAGGCGGAGAAAGCCCAGAGCTACAAAAGTCCAAATTTAAAAAGACCCACGTCTACTCCAGGCCCAGGTTACTTGCGCCGTTTCACCGAACCGCGGCTTACCTCTTTCCTGCTAGTGTGTCATGAGTTAGGTTTTCAAAATCGAGATTTTACTTAAACTGTTTTGGTTAAGTGAAATTGAAATCGTAAAATCGAATTGGTAAAATCGAAATTTTACAAAATTTAATATATAATATATAATAAATTATATAAAATCAAAATTAAATAATAATAAATCAAATATAGAGTTAAAAACTTGAAATTAGTTAATTAAAATCTAAATATCCGACAACATAAATAAATTAAACAAAGAAAATGACTTAAATTTAAAATTTTAGATGGTTAAATCAAATTTGTCCCAAATTCCCGATTAAAATGTTGATTTGTAGTTGGGTTGCGTGGGTTGTGGGCTTTTTAAATAAAAAATGAGCTTAATTTATGAGTTATCTAGTTAAAATTCACTAACCCTCCAAAAGGTAAAATTCCTTATTTCACCTGATTTTACAGTAAAATCTAAATTTAATCATAAAATCTTGAGATTTTATGAATTTCAAATTTTAGTATAGATTTGACAAAATACCCAAATCTATCCCCAAAGTATAGCAGCAGGGACGGATTCACCCTCGAACAAAAAACAGGGACAAATCCACCCACAAAGTTTTCGACTTGGACAAATCACTTCAAATTTAATGTGTGACGTCATTTGACACCATCAATTTGTTAATTCGATTGCCGACGTAAGATGACGTCAAATTAACAGGTTGCTGATGTCAAATGACGTCACACGTTAAATTTGAGGTGATTTGTCTAAGTCAAAAACTTTGTGGGTGGATTTATCCCTATTTTTTGTTCGAGAATAGATCCGTCCCTGCTACCATACTTTGGGGTGGATTTAGGTATTCTGCCTATAAATTTTACATATTTCTTGCTAAAATTATAAAATCTTATGATTTTAAGATTTAAATGTAGATTTTGAAAACAATGGTAAAGAGCCACACTAAAAAAACCCCTCCCTAAACCCTTCTATTTCCTTCCCTTCTCCGATCATCTCTCCGGCCTCTGTGAACCCTAGCTCTGTTCAGGTCCGTCTCCTTCGTCTTTAGCATTCTCTTTTACAACATTTTAACGATTTCAGATCCTTTTGCTTTGCACAAAGCGAAGCAGCTGCAGTTTTCCTTCTTCTTCTTCTTCTTCTTCTTATTTAGGAACGAGCTTTTATTGTGCGACGCTAGTAATGCAAACTGATTTCTAGATTTGCTTTTTAATCG